GTCTCCTGACATACACCACGATGCGAAGAAAGAAAGAAGGGGAGCAGGGGGTGGAGGAAATCACACACCAAGGCCCCCTCCAACTCAACTTCCAATGTTACTCAAACACCAGGAAAAAATTATTTTTGTTGCCAGTAGCATAAAACACAATAGTCAGCTTGTTTCTTGGCAAGGAACTGATGCGACCATTCTAAAAACATGGTATTGGTACACAAATCTAAAGGAACTGTGAAAACAGGGCAATAACATTTATGTATACAAACTAATATTAGCCATTAGGAGGGAATTCATTAGTTTAGACGACTTAGTTATAAATATTTTACTTTCTCTTCACTCATTAGCTTCCCTTCCATAAAATCACACACATAAAAAGACCAAAGTTAGAAAACAAAACACAGTATCAGATAGCAGAAGAGTAAAGTTACCAAGACAGGAGTCATTTGAGTCACAAAAGAGATTGACACTGACCAATGTGACTAGATAACATCATCTACTGGTTTATGTGAAACAATGGTGGTACTACAGTTCAACTTTTGGTGGATAAAATGCATAAAGAAAAGATTAGAAAGCATCGAAGACACTTTTCCTTCCTCCCAAGCAACTAAATGTAGGTGAGAAAAGAAAAAAGTTCCAAATCTTTAAGAGGTTGACTCGGCTTTCTTAACTTCCTCACTAAGATAAAATTATTTTTTAAAGTACACAAGAAATGCAAATATATTTGTCATCTAGGTCTTGAAAATACAGCTATTCAGTTCTGCTTCTGCCCTCATATTAACAGATTTGATAAATATACAAACTTGTATTCCAAACTTCAACATACCAGTTTAAGAAATAAAGCCATCATTATACAACATCATTTGGGAAAATGAGGCTTACAAGCATTATATAAAATTCCCTATAACCTCAAAACTTCCTGAATCATAAATACTATCCAAATTTACTGAGCACAAAGGCATATTCCCCTTATTTGTCAATCTTTGTAGTGGATTTCGTAAGTCACATTTCAACAATTTATTTCTATCTAAATATTTCTGCTTGTCCCAGTTTTTCCCATGACACTTCAAAATTGTCTATCGCCCTTGCCAATTTCCCACTTTCTAAAATCGTGCATGACTGACGCTCTCCTTAGAGTCTGTCAGCCAAACCCACAGTGATCACATAGGGAAAAATCACTTTTTTTAAAAACAAAAAAAGTCAGTGAAAGGCCATCATCTTAGAAGCAAAGAACCCCAGCTTCAAAATAACACAGAAAACATTTTTTTTCCTCTTCAACCTGAACTAAACTTTTACATTCATTCTTCCAACTATATTCCTTACTCATCCTGTCCTCCATTTCCCAGTTTTAATCTTTTCTGGTTCACAGATTGACATCTGCACAGTCAAAAGAGAAGATTTTAGCTCCTCTTCATCAGTGGATGATCACAAAATGCAGTGTGCGACAGCAGAGACGTACTCCTCTGGAATAGCCTCATGAAAAGACAGTTGAAGTGCTGAGGAGGGAGGGAAGGAAAGGAAGGGAAGTCACAGGCTTCCTGCTATTACAAGCCAAATTTAAACCCTTTCTACATCACAAGGGGCTCTGTTGTTGGCAGTAACGCAAAGAGTAGAAAATTTGGTTGATATGGAGTCTTCATTATGCTTCCACGTTAAAGGCACACTGGAAGAATAACTGTGGGGAAGCCATGCTCCCATTACTTATGAAATTGCTGTAGGACAATGTCAGTTGATAGCCCTGGCACCTGAAGCCACCCTGCAAGAGCTGGAAGCGGGCTAAGCCCTTCCAAAAACTCCATCCAGAAAAACCTGTGCTGTAGACCATGCCTTGCTTCTCCGATATTCTATTCTGCTCACCAATGCAACAGTGCTGTTACTTCCCACACGCCACCTTCACAACAGAAACAACAACAACAAAATAATCTATTTCTGTCTCTAACTCAACTACAGATTATGAAAGGAACACTGAAAATTTTTTAAACAGTCTTTACTGTAGTTAACTTGGCTAGAACGTTAACCACCTTCAAATTCACCTTAGCATTGTTAACTATTAAGCACATTAATTACCTGGAACACTTGATTCCATACAGTTCCTCAAATAATTAATTAGCTAAAAGCCATCAAGGATTGGAGTCCCAAAGGAAATTCTTCTAGTTTTGTAGAATTACATAGATTTCACCTTGTTAAATGCTACACCTCTATGTGAGGCCAATTCACCTAAATGCACATGACAACTGTCCCTTCGTCTATTTAGGGCCAGAATCCTAAAACCAAAACAAATAAAAAATCCCCACACTCACTGAAGGAAGCTAGTGCATTTAGCACTGGATATCCTGTTTAGTCACCAGATTTAATAACAGTATTTGGGTAACATTAAAGAAAAACTTTTTTGATTCCCTGTTCGTAGCACATTAGACGTTTTTCGTAACTGGAATCCTCTTTCTACTTCAAACATTAATTATCACAGGACAATCAAATCAAAGGCAAACACATTTCAGACAGGACTTGACACTGCATTTCTTTCAAGCCACATGAATAAACCGCACCAACAGAAATCATTCAAAACTACAGTTATGCACACAGACACTAACATTTAAAAACATATCTTCATCTCCAGCATAGTAGTTTCCACAACCTCTCTGCTGTTATTCATCACATCAACCGTGGTGTTGTATGCAAACATGTTTATGTTCCAGAGCAACTGAAAAGAACATTAAGAGAAGTAATACTTTACTTTTCCTGCCCTTCCAAAAACACTCCACACTATCTCTCTCATTAGCTGCATCCGACACCACTTTTCCACAAGGTAAACAGGGCAGAAGGGATGTATCGGGCAAAAAGGATAGCAGGGAAAGCAGGACAATGTATGGAGCAGTTATTTACTTTGAAGAAAATACAAATTACTTAAGGACTAACGTGTAACTTGTGAGAATTTCAAAACACTGAAAACCAGCCTTCTCCCCCCTGTAAAGCATGTTATGATCTACCGATTACTTTTGGCAACAAAAACCTAAAACTACATGCATGATAACTTACTTTTTGTACGTTCTGTATATACCGCTTTTTAATTTGATTTAATTGATTAAATTAATTTTAATTTAACACCTGAATGTTCCAACACGTACAACCCACAGAAGGACAAGCACAAAGGCCTGACTGCAAGACAACACGCCGTGGACGCCCCACGGTTCCTGAGCTGCATGCAGCTCTCCTGCAGTTCATGCAGGGCTCCCAGACTGGAGTATGCCATGTGATTGGCAGCAGGGCTGTGCTGGCACAAGGCTGCTAGGTAATCCAAATCCCTTGCTATGAGAAGGCAGGAGCTAGGAGACGCTCCTGAGGCCAAATTTGCCATTTTGCCCTGGAATCCAGCTGCATGCTCTGCTCAGCCCCAACCTACAACACGTAAGTGAGATAATCAAGGAACGCATCGCTGTTGCAAATCCCAGAGCATGTCCCAGTCCCTCCCCAGCTCTGCAAGCTTTGTGTAATGGGTCTCCGGACCCTGAGTTCCACACAAATTTGGGTATGCAGCTTGCAGGGTGGAGAAAGTTATGTACCCACGTAATACACCATTCGTTACACACCAGGATCATCTCTTTAAGACCATCTGTATGCTTAGAAAACATAAATTGTGTTGGTTAAATGGATTGATGTTTTTAAAAGGTGCCAGGGATCCTTGACGAACACTTTACTTAACACCTAATGTTGAGAGCTGTTCCATCAGTCAACTCATGAAAATCTTAAGTCACACAAGTCTTTTAAGAGGTCTTTAGTAACAAGAGCAGCCAAAATAACAGAGACAACTCAGTAGTAACAGGACGCAGGACTGGGCACTTACGAAAAAGAGTTGTCCTGGATAAAGAAAATATTCCCTACAAAGACGAGCTAAAAACATGTAGCACAGAATGTAATTTATTATGAATCAGTCTGAACTTTCTTCCAAAATACAGTGTACCTTATCCTGAACTAGCATTTGGAGATTAGGAAGAAGTATTGTCCAGGCTCCTTGGCTAAACTTTTAGCTCAGACATTGTTACTGTAGAATTAACTAGTGAAATGAAAGACTAGTGAAAGCTTCATCTTCCCAAAAAGGCAGGATTCACAAAAGAGATGTTACTGACTAGAAGCTAGAGGATGCTAATACAAAAATATTATGTTTGAAAACAAGCAAGACAAAACCAGTTATATAATCTAAAAAAATTAAACACAGAAAATAAGCTCTGAAATATCAACACCTTAATTCAATTAGAATTAATTTAGCAGGTTTTGGTATACACACACACAAACGCTTGCAAGTGTAAACTAACATGCAGAAGAATCTCTTCCTCCTCCCTAGCAAGGCTAGAAGAAAAGTTAGCAAACACAAATCTTCCACAGACAAAATAATAAATTTCCATTTTCCCTAACATAATGCCATTCCTCTCCTCACAACTATCAAATAATTGAATAGATTTTAAGTGTAAACAATAAAAGCTTTTAGAAACATAACTTAACACAAACATCTGGACAAGCAAACACAACAGAAGAGAGAAGAAAATCTGACCCATAACCCCCAAAATTCATAGCATGGCCTCATTTTGTGAGGAGACAGAAGTAAAAGCCTTACTTGCTCTAAATAAAGAAAACTGCATTCATTTTGTACGCTAACAGGAGGCATGTTTACAGCAGTATGAATCAATGTGCTACAGCAGAGGTAAATCAGTGTCAGCCATGTTGTGAAAGAAACTGCAGTCCAAAAAAAACCACCACAAACAAAACTTCAGCCTTAATCAAATCAGCTATACTGAACCTTGATATAAATAATTATATATCATTAGTTCTTACTTATTATTGGTGCATGACTTCTTCAAGTTAATGTCTATTAACCTCAGCTAAAAACACACGTCCAAATTCTAGAGACCGTGAAACAGTAGTAAGAAGAAAATATACCAAGATATAAAACAAAAGCAATGACTAATAAGGTAGGTTGTAAAGTGGAAAAAAAAAAAAAAAAATGCACTTACTCAGCATTAAATCCATTCACATGCAAGATCCTCATCTGTTTGACTATTGTGCTTTTACCGGATTCACCAGCACCTAGAAAATGAAAGTAAATCAATGTCAGAAGGAAGCATGAGTGATGAAAGGACACACCAGAATTTTTTCTTCAGGGTAAAATTGAGAAAGTTGGTTTTCTCAGTGCAAGAGTGAAAACTGAAAGAAAAAGAAGTAATTGCCACTGGAAACTTCAGTTGTAGCTAAAAATAACTGCCCTGCTCAAGTCATGTGTCAGATCTGAATCTTGGATCACTTCACTGTCCATTTTTCCAGTGCCAACGTTAAAAGCAGATTGCAGGGTTTGGAAGGGAAAAGGACAACTTCAACATTTTGTAGAGAACAAGACAGAGAATGTCAAAACCTGCTTGCCTTGTCACTAATATCTGATGGAGAGAAAGACTGACTGAAGTCCGTATTAAACCGAAGCATTTTCATTAGATCCTGAAAATATTTTAAGTTCAGCTGCGGTTAACATCACCCAGTCAAAAGACTAACTCAAATGACAAGAAATAAGACACGTGGATACTCACATCTGAAAAAGGAAGGCATCCCCTTTAAGCCTCCACCCACAAAGCGACAGAAGCCTCCTTTCTAATTTGTGTCTTGTAAGCAACCTCCCACCCTCTCTACGTGTTCCAAATCAATCACATACACAACGAGATGCAAAGACCACCTTTTGTGGCTGCTCCAAACAGCCCCCCGCCAGCTCTCCTGATTCCCTTCTATACCTGCAGTACAAAAAAAAACACCCCACTTTACTCCAGTTTCCATAAGTAGATGTATGCTATTTCTGCTGTGCTGCACAGATGCCAGTGCACAGGGCAACCCATCTGCCTAGAGTATCCGTTTTTCCATGCATGCTAAAAAGACTCAAACAGCAGCATTTAATTGAGCTGCTCCACGCAGCCAGATTGGTAGCTTTCTATATAAAGCAAACATATTTTTGCAAGAGTAGTATCATAACCTGGCAAAATCTAGAAAGATTCCTTTTTGCATCTCCTGGCTACTCATTTATTTCTCTCATTAGCTTATGTCTCAACAACAGAAAATGTATGTCTGTGGCAGAACGGGCACAGAGGATGCCAGGCCTCTGCTAGCACACACTGACAGCACAAGCCTCCATTTTGAGCCTCACGTTCAAAACTGTATTTTAGCAGTTTTATTTCAAAGTTCATTTTCTGACAGATGTATTCCTCTCTGCTTTCTCCGTTTTTCTCCTTCTCCATGAATTCCCAATAGTCCTGCTTTTCTCTCCATGTTATGCCACCTTAACAGCAGAGCCTTACCCGTTTTTCCTCTCCTTGCTCACTGATGTTTTGTGAGCATTTAGAGAGCACTTTTTATCCACAGCTCTTCATGCAAGCACTGTTTCCCCCCTAAACTATTTTATAAAATACACACTCTGCCTCTCCAGGCATAACGCATCATGCAATAAAGACAGGCGGCAAAAATAATCAAGAATGAGTAACTCCAGTTAAGACAGAGACTGGGTCCTCCTTGCAACTAAGAATTATTTAGGAATAGTGGTATACACTATAGTCAAATTTCCATTCAGAATAATTAGTAACAAAATTTCAGCTGTAGCTCTAAATCGCATCTTATAAGCATTGGGAGCCAAAATCTTTACTTCGCTTAGGCCAAGAATGGGGGTAATCGTTGTTGCATTTGCTATAAATGCACATAGTTTGGTATCAACATACCCAGGTTCTTTGGATCAGATACAACACAGTGAACCAAAATGAAGTATTATATCTAAATTTTGGAATAAGTCTATTTCTGTATTTCACTACTCGATAAGGCTCTATTCTTACCAACAATTACGCATACATCTAACTTCACCACCCAGGCGAGTTCCACTAATTTCAATTAGACTGCCCGTGGCAGAAGGGGCGAGCATGTGTACAGCAGGGGGGCCTACAAAGAGCAGTATAAACCCATTAGAATATTTAGCAGCTCTTCTTTGCTGTTATTTGAATACTTTCAAAGTACTTTTTATTTTTATTTCATGTGTCTTATAAAGTACACGTAACATAATAAGAGGGACATGAGCTTTTATTATTTTTTACCAGTGAGTTTGCATTATACTGTCCACAACTCATGACAGCTACTGTTAGAAACTGCAACAGTTGAACTATCACTTTAAAACACACATATGACCTTACGGCCACCAATAAACACCCACAAATTTTTACTTACAAGTATCTAAACCATTTTTCAGCCACCAAAACTAACAAAAACAGAAAGAGAATCCAGGCAAGTCCATTGTGTTTCTGTTTTCTGGAATTCTGTCTCCTGTGAAAGTAACCCATCTGATGACAAATGCCTGCTACCTATCTATGTAAGGCTCAGCCTGAAATCTGGAATCCCAAGACATTCTCCAAGAGCTGAAGTCCAAATTATCCTGTTAAAACATTTCTGCTGGAGCCCTGGGAGACTCCTCAGTGCTGCAGGTGCTGCTCTAGTCCCAGTCACTCTCCATTTATGTTAAGCCTCTTTCTTCAAATTCGTATTTGAAAGATTTTACAGTTAAGAGTACACTTCCAAATTCACAACCCTCTAAATTTTTTTTTAATTTTATTTTTTTTTTTATTTCCCCCCCAATTACGGTCGTTTGACACCAGAACGGAGCCAGCTCACCGAGGCCTACCCTCTGCTCCGCGCTGAAAACCCTGCATAACGTGCACAAGCGGTCCCTCGGCGTGACCGAAACAACCGAGACCCAACCATATCGTGTTTTAAAACACCACTTTAAAATGCTTTGGCATAATGAGTCTGACAAACATTTTCTTCTTCTCTCCGATAACCGTTTCTGGACCTTCCCCTTCCTTGAAGCCAAAACCCGCATTTCTAAACGCATCTCCTGAAAAACACGCAGGTAACCCGAATTAGCGCTGAAATAACACCTGAAACCAAACGCTCCCGTCCGCCCGCACACGGACACCGCAATCGCTGGTGCGGCACAAGTC